TCTTGAAGTGCAATCCAGACTTTCCAGTTTTCTTTGGATCCCCAAAGCAATTTTCTAATACTTGTTCAACTTCATATACTTCATTGTCTGTATCACTTGTAGTCCCTTCTTCTTCTTCTTCTTCATTACAAATATTCAAGCAAGGATGTGGTGCTGAGTTGTTTGTTATCAGAGAGCAAGAGACACAAAGGTGTTCCCATTCCTTGAAAAGGCACAAAAAATCCTGAGCAGCTTCATTTCGGACCTGCGTCTCTGGATGATTCCATCTCAAGCTATCACATGCTTCTCTATTGAAATCCACTGCCCATTTTGTTACAAGCTTAACACCATAGTTCGCAGCTCCAAGACATAAACCAGTGGACATCGCACCACAGCCAGAATACATAAACCAGTGGACATCGCACCACAGTGTCCTTAGCTCGGTAGAACCATTGAGCCGTGAAATAACGCATTCCATCTAAATCTTCAAACATCTCAATGATTTTACAAATATAATTGTCTTTACCTTCCTCACCATTAACATAAGCATCATCATGAAGATTATAAAGCTCTCCATCCACTTTTACCATCGAGAAATGGTGTTTAGCCATTCTTGTATCTACATGCTACTTCTAGTTGTTTGTTCTTGGGATCCTGTTGGAACACAAGTTTACGCCTACGTCGTACTAAACTGTGTCCGTTTCTATGACAGGTTTTGATAATGCCAAACCGTCGTGACATAACAAGGCTAAAGAGAACAAAAACCAAGGCGAAGGAACATGGCATGATGACTCGAGATCCAAGAACCCAAAATCAAGAACGAAGAACTAGAATTGTATTGAGTCGGTTTTAATGCGATCAAGACCGGCACAAAATTCCAAATCTTGGCTCTCTAGGCTCATTTCATCAAAACTCTTTTTACAAACTCAAAAAAATGTTTTTCATTAGTTTTAAACTTGGCTCAAAACACTTGCAGTTCGCCCAAACCAAAAACCAAGCCATCCGGCGTTCGGCTTTCGGTTTTCGGCATTGGTTTTTGGCGTCCGAAACAACCAAGTGGTTTTCAACTTTTTATGACTGGTTTTTACTTTTGGGCATATTTAAATAGTTCTCCAACAAAAACGCCTCAAAAACCACCTTCCGTTTTTTGTCGTTTAGTGAAAACCATGCGAAACGGCGCGAACTCGGCTAGCCGTGGTTTTCAACTAAATAACGTTATTTTTAAGATGTTTTACTTGATTTCTTAGCAAAATGCAATAAACAAATGTTTTCTGAACTTGGTTTTTATTTTGGAGAACTTGCATTTTTGACATCGGCTAACGGCGTGACTAAACCAACCATGGGTCTGGCTAAACCAGCCCAACAGCGATGTTGAGGTAATCAACAGCGCTGTCTGGCCTGGGTAGCTGAAAACCATGGTTTGGCGTTAAGTCTTCCAACAGCGATGTTGGATGTTAGACATCGCTGTTGAGCCAAGGTTGGATTTCCAGAAACTTCTGGAACAGCGATGTAGGCTCCCCTACAGCGCTGTCCAACCTAAGCCAAAAATATAGTG